AACATAGAACAACTCACCAAGAGATCGCTTTGATCAGAGCTGTCGGACTTGAAGTCGAGCTCTATGGTGCTGTTCCCCCAGCGCTCTGCCTTCACAGCAGAAGGAGGCGTCCTTATTCTGTACGACTGTAAAGGAATTCAAAGAGGCAATGTCAGCAAAACTCATTCATATTTTTATTCATTTTTGGGACATTTCAGAAAAATACTGGATATTACTTTGATGTTTGATGTTCCGCCAACTCCGCTTGCAAAGCTTCTCGGGGCTTTCACGTCTTCATTGTGAGTTTCCTTCGATACAAAGTCAGCGTCAGTCTGAGTTTTATGATTATGAATGCTACAATAGTGACTAAACTCTTATGCTATACTGGTCTTCATCATCATATCAAGGTTTACTTTATGAATAGATGAAACTGTTGTCTTTGGGGTTGTTCCACACAATGTTCTGATGGATTCAGTGTCAGATTGCTTCACCACAGAAGACATCAAATGTTATCGTAGTGTGATTTATCTCTTGGCAACGAGCTATCGCTCAGCAATAACCTCTAGTGACTCGTTCACACCGCAGTCATTCACTGTTGACATGCAGCGCATACTGAGGGACAATCCCCCTGCACATGAATGCACACACACAGTCTTTGCATGCACATGCACACACATCAAAACCTCCTCCGTGGTTTTTCTCCACAGTTTATGTTAATAATGAACAGTTTGTCTGTATGAAAGGGGCACATGCTGTTTAACGGTTATAAGTGGGACTCTGAACAGGTGAGCTCATACACAACGTCCACAGTATTTGTACTCAACCTGTCTTGGACATGAAAATGCATTAAACTGCCAGCTACAATTATACAAGAATGCAACATAAGTTAAGACAATTTGATGATTTGATTTCCAACTCGTCTCAACATGTACGAATGTGCCTGAAATAACAGTCTAAAGAGCTGTGTTAGCTTGAACTCACAGCTTTCTTCTTAAAAGCAGCTCTTCCCTCCTCTCTGCTGTAGGGAGTCCTCAGGGCCCCGGAGAAGTCAAACATGTGTCTTTTTGGAGAGCTGTCTTTTGGGGTCTTGGAACATCTCCTCTGTTTATAGTCTGAGGCGGGTGACTGGAAATGGAGAGATGAATTCTTGGTAAGATACAGGTGATGACAAACGTCATCAGTGGTTCCTGTTAGATGGTGTACCTGCTTGGTCCTTGCTTCTGACAGCTGGGTGACTTTTGTTGATGCTATTACTTTCTTCAAGTTAGTCAGCTCCTTCTGCACATTTTCCTAAAAGCAATGAAAAGTGTTTCTCAAACAATAAACTGTCAAAAAGTTAACGCATTTCAGTGAAAAGCCCCAAAAGATGTAACTGATTCAAAGTGTGACGTACCTTCTCTGTTATTTCTGTCTTCAGCTGTTGCTTCAGCTGATCATTATCTGCCTTGTGCTTCGTGACGTCCAACTCCTGATTTTCACAATTTTAGTTTTGCTTATAATTTGATCTAATTTATATGTAAATAAACATGAATTCATAATTCTTCAGCAACATACCAGAGATTTCCTGGAGGCCACAATCTGCGTCTCTTTCCTCTTGTTCTCATCGAGCTCTGCGTCCTTCTCTTCAACCATCCGGTCGTACTGGCTCTATCAACACAATGCAACATGTGTTTGGATCGACTGTCATGCTGGAAAAGACCAAAACCTTAACTTCACAATGACCGTACCTTATGTTTCTCCATGAGTGCGACCATATCGGCTATCTTGTGTTGACACTTGACTTCTGTGTCTTCCTTGTTCTTGGCGGCCTCTACTGCTGTTAATCTGAGCTTTTGGAGCTGTAAAAAAAGGCTGTTTTTATTGTAATTTTGTATTATGAGGAACTTAAAATGTGGTAAATAACATAGCACTGTATAAGTAACCTCATTCTCAAGCTCTGCTGCAAAGGAGGACTTGGACTCAAGAGCCTTTAGCATGTTCTGATGGTCTTCTTCGTTCAGTCGTTTGAGGCTCTGGGACTCCTCCTGAAGACTGTTGATCTGAAGACAAAGACAAACATTTAAATCATACAGGGCTATACTTATCATTTCAATGTTTTATATCAATATTACATGCTGTAACATTAAAAAAACAACATACCACAATTTCAAGTTGACTGGATTTCGCATTCTCCTTTGCTATTTGTTTCTGAAGCATTTTATTCTGAAAATATACAATTCCACTGCTAAATAAAATATATAAATATGCAACACCACCATTTCCTGTACTGTAAATGTAGTTTCACAGTCACAAACCTTTTTCTGGAATCCCTCTTGGGCTTTAAGTTTAATCTCAAATGTTTTCCTGAGCTGGCACAGCTAAAAAACAAACAACTTCTTGTTATTCACACAAACTGATCGATAGTATTAGCATTTCACGTTTCACTTTTTCAATAACCTTTGTTTCCACAGATTTGATCCGATTTACTTTTTCTGTAATTTCCTCCTGCAGATGTTCACACTGTAGACAGAGATCACAGAGAAATCATCCTTTCACACTTCAGAACTGTGTTACTGTTGGTATTGGGTTGGTTGGCATACTTACATTTTCTTCAATCTTCTTCTGTAAAGTCTCGCTTTCCTGATATGTTCCTTGGCTTTTGGTTTTAATGGAGTTTACTTCCTCTCTATTTAATGAAAACATACAAATATTAACCTTGAAAACTACACAATGTCAAACCTCTTTCTGTCTCTGAAGTGAAAAACTCACCGTAAACATTGGTTTTCTTCTTCCAGTCTTTGAATTTCTATTGAGAGCTTCACGACCAAAACAGTCAAAACAGATTCCAGCATGTTATTCATATGACAGCCAGAAATAAAAAAACAAAATCAGACAGCTAATGCAAACAGCTAATGTACAAAAGCAAAAGATCACATGTGAAAGGATGATTCAGACCTCCATGTTTGCCTCCATAGCTTTCACATCAGAAGATCCGCTCTCAAGCTGCCGCTGAATGGCTGTCTTCTCACACTGCAGCTCATTAAAGGTGGAGGATAGCTTTTTGTACTTCACTCTTAAAAGGACATAAATGAAACATTAGACATGAACTTACAACAGTTGAATGTAATATTTGATATGCTAATATTATGTAATGTAATGGAAGAACTCACCTATGCTGCGTGAAGTCTTTCCTCAGTTGCTCCATCTGAAAGGTTTGCTCTTTATTCTGATTTATTTCAGTATTCAGTTGCTCCTCCAGGTCTTGCACTTTGATCTGAGAATGAATAAAGAACAGAACGTGGTGAAGCCACGTATTGTGTATATATACACAATATCACTCAATATTTAAAAAAAAAAAGATCTGAGCTGTGGGTAACAGCTGATGAGAAGTAAACCAAATAAAAACCTCTGTCACTGTGGCCTTCTTCTTTAAATCCTCTTGTGCGTTTTCAGCAGCTTCTAAGGTCTTCTTCAGTCGATCCAGTTCAGCGTTCTCAATCTCTGCTTCATCCTTTATAGACAAAAAATGTTACCTCGGGCTTCTGTATTAGACTGTGGTATGAACATAACTTTTCCTTCTGAGATGAGTGATCTATATGTATCACCTTAAATAGCTGGACTTCTTCAGTTCTCCTCGACAGCTCAGCTGTGAGTTCCTCCACTCTGAGTTCAGTGGTTTCATTCGTAGCCTTCATGGACTCAACGGATTTGGATTCTCTCTCCTAAGAACAAGGAAAGCCTACGATGAGTGCCTTTAAGTTCTCGTCCTTTGTGTTCGAGCTATGACAACTGGTTGAGAAACAAACTTAAATCCACCCTACCAGTTTATCTTCAAGGATTTTGATCTGCTCATCTTTGTCTGCACTCTGCTCTCGGCTCTCTCCTGTTGAGTAAAACATATTTATATATTATTAGCGTATTTATTAGCGTGAAAGAGCAGCAAATAAAATATCTACATACTTCCCTCAGTGAGGCTTACCTAAAAGTGTGTTTCTCCTCTCAAGTTCTTTGTTGCTTGCCGTAAGATTCTCCTCAAGGTCCTTGGTCCTTTAAAGTGGGTCATGACAGGAACAAAGTGGTATGAGGAGAAACTGTGTTTGGTCAGAAAAATGCTCTGAATTGACACAAGTTATTTCTACCTCTGTATCTCTGCTGCTCGTGAACTCTGGAGCTCCTGAAGGCTTGTCTGAATCTCCTCCAACTTGTCTGCTTGCTGATGTTTCACTCTAGTGAGCTCCTGCAAGCTCAGGTCTTTGTTTTCAATCATCTCCCCATATTCCTCTTTGCTTTGGGCCAGCATTGCAGCAATAGCTTCACGATTTTTCTGAGGAATACGACTCATTTTTTATCAAAGCAGATAACGCACGAGAGAGCCAAGTTTCAGTGAAAATGGCAAGAATGTGAAAGCACTCACCTCCGTGTCTTTAGAGTGCTGCTCTGCAGCGTTCAGTCTTTGAAGAAGGGATTCTTGTTCCTGTTTTGAGCTTTTTAGAAGTTCATCTTGTTCATCTGTAAGCCAGTAAATACTTAATAATCACATCTTTAGGATCCTTCTCTAGTGATCCTTCAAATAACAAAGTGTACTAATACTAACAAATATGTTTTATAGTAATGCCTGATTTCTGCACTTTTAGTGTAGTTTTAATAACCAGTCATCCTGAAATACTGAGACCAACAAGACATAAGATCCATTATAACATTAGTAATAGTTCAGTCAAAGCTTATCTAACGTTTTAGACAAAACCTGGAGAACCTTGTTAAGTTCATTCAATCATAATGCTTACCAACTATTATTATCTTTAATTAAACCTAATTCCTCATTGAACATTTTCATTCTCTTCATCACGACTACTGGGAATGTTCCTAAAATCATTGAATGACGTTTAACAAGAAACTTTGTTTTGGGAAATAAAAGAAACTTTACCAAAAATCTAAAAATAAAATTGACTGTAAAAATATACAGCTGTGAGCACCTAACCTTGATCTTACTTGTTGCCTCTTGAAGTTGTTCGCAGTGCTTCTGGGTTTCCTGGAGATCAAGCAGGAGTTCTTGTAGTTCTTTTTCCTTTTCCTTGATTTGTGTTTGAAGCACTGCAGCCTGCGAATGTGAGCGTCAATCCTTAAGCTGTTTGTTTCAGAAGTTCCCAAATAAAGTGATCTAAAAAAGACTTTTATTTTACTGACCTCTTTCTCCTTCATGGTATATTCCTGATGAAGTTTTTCTTTTTGATCTTCAAATTGCAGTAAATCCTCTTTGACTGGAAGAAGACAAGATAGTGGTTGTTATCTTGTTATCTTGCTTGCCAATCAATCAATAATTTCTCTTCTGTCCTTTGAGTTATTCCTGACTGATTGAAATATCCTGCAGTGAAAAGGCTTCAGCAATAGTAACAAAACCAACCTTTCTGCATCTCTTGTTGATCAGCTTCTGCTTGAATACGAAGGCTTTCAAATGCTGCGATCACTTTCTACAGATGAAAGGTTACATGTTAGCTGACCATCAAACCATATGTCAGACTGTTTTACTGACTCCTGTCCAACAACAATGATCATTATTAAAAAAACTTCATTGTGATGTAGATATTTTACCTGAATACTCCCACTGTTTTCCGTAAAGAGGTGATGTGTTTCTTCTCTTTCGGATTCAACTGGAAAATGTAACGATTTGTTATGCAGCAATGTGTCCTAATTCTTAATAATAATATGGCTGGTTAAGACACTTATTGAGGCACTTTTACTTACATAAATGCATTTTCTCAGCTGTCCGCTGGAAAGTATCTTTGAGTATATTACACAAGTTCCTTGTGCCGTTGTTTCTGTATTTAAAAAGTGTAATAAACAAAACATTTATACATCTACAAATTAGACTGTCATGTCTATTTGGCTTTCACAGAACACTTACTTGTTCCTCAACTCCTCATTTTCACTGATCTGTTCCTCCAGCTTTACGCTGAGACTTTCACTTCCAAACTGTAAAGACAGAACAGACGTAACACATACCACTATAGATATCAAAGGGTGTTAGAGTATGCTGTTCCTCTTTTATCAATAATCCTCTGATTAAAAAGAGAGAGAGAGAGAGAGAGAGTGACAGATGAGGATACACACCTGTAGTTCTTGAATGGCTTTGCGCTGAGTTTCAATTGTTCTTTTGTTTTCTTGGAGTTCCCTTTTCTTTTGCACAGTGTCAGAGTCAACTTTAACCTTCCAACACTTTATTTTGTCAACTTCATCAAACAGCTTGGAGTACAGCTGCCCCGGACTGCAATTATTCTGGGGAATATTTACAATGATGGGAAGTAGATTTACATGCTTTTGAATTAACACTTTGCAAAGGCCAAATCTTTCCTATTCATGCTTCACATTTTTTTGTATAATGAAAATATTACCTCGCCCTTTTCCATTGGTGGCACAACTTTCATCCTGGAGATTTCTTTAGAGGAGAGACAATAATCAATTTATTATAAGATGTTGTGATAGTTTGCCAACTTGTTGTTTAATAGAAAATACCTGGTCTAGTTGGTTTTGTTGGTGCAACCGCACTTGTATGGGTGAAAGGCATGCTCTGCTCTTTTTCAAAACCTTTGCTGTTACCCTAGGGGAAAACGGCAAAAATGCTTAGTCATCACCTGTATTCTGTGTTAATGATTACTGCCTCTCAGACAGCTGCATCTGTTCATCAATGCATTCAGCCTACTACAAGGATAAGGGCATACAAGAACACATACTGTACGTTAAAGACTTCCACTGCTTGAAAGGAAAAGATGTGGCTTCATTATTTTCGTGCTGAAAGACTGTCAGTGCTGAGCTAGCATCAGTGTTTTACCTTGACGTTATTCATTAATGTTTGTTGGTGGTTGACTGTTGGCGAATTAAATTAACGTTACCTGCTGCAATGTATTCATGAAATCACCACAGTTCTCTACGGTTTCCTGAGGTCGAACCGCAGATACCTGTCCGTTATTCCCCCTGGAGGGTACCAACAGCTTGAAGTTAAATCCCCGGGGTCTCTCCATCCTGAAACGAGCAATAGAGTAACGTCAGTTTACCGAGCTTTAACGTAACTCTTATTGCAAATTTGGACATTATCAAGAGGGAAAGTATGACATATTTAAGCTATATAAAGTATGACATATGACATATTACATAACCTAACGGTGACCCGTTGGCTAGGTCAACTACCGTTAAGCTGATTAGCTTGTTACCAGCAATTCCGTTTACTAGCTAACATTATTAAGTTAACCGACGTCGCTTGAAGTTAATTTATTTAATGTTAGCTAACCTCACTTACCTTCAGTAATTCGTTCAGTAACGAAATAATACCAAAATATCTGCCCGGCAAACCATTTACAGTTGACAGGACGTTCTTCGGGTAACGTTAGTCCTCTGTGGCGTTTGCTATGACCATGACAAACCGTTACAACTGCTAACGGTTTCAAACTGACGACCGTATGCAGGCGCGTGCTAGAATACTGCTGTTGGATTCTAATACGTTACATTAACGGTTTATTTCGACCTGTGTGTTACATTGAAAGATGTATCCATTATCAGACAACAGGGGCATAGTTCGGATTATCTCTGTTAGTTGGCTAGCTCCAGATTGCTATTTTTTCCGAGTCCCAGGTCAACATTATGTTCTCCAGATGCTCAACTGCCCGCAGATGGTTGTTGAACAAAAGGCATATTCTGACCCAGTGGCGGCCGGTGGAAAATGTTCTAGGTAGGGCTGTGCCACATCCAATCAATTTCAGCAAACATCCCAGAATGATTTAATGCAAAAAAAAAAATGAAGGTATCAAACACGCATTACTACTTTGCAGTTAAATATTTAACATTTATTCCAACATGAAAGAAAGCAGTAAATAACACTTAACACTTAAACAAACACATCAGGACATCGTATTTTTGTCCCCCTCACAAGCAATTCAGTATAATATAACAATATATATATATCATATAATAATACTCACTATAATATAAAACACACAGACATATATAGATATATAATTATTTATTTATAACTATATATCCATTTCTCAGACAGGTGCTTCTTATCCCATAGACCGCTGTGCTCGTTGAAAATAGCATGGAGTCTGGCGTAATAGTCTGCTACAGTTTCACCAGGCTTTTGCTTGCATGATGTTATTTTTGTCATGTTGATTCTCGGCGGGGAAGCAAGTGTCAAAGCTGTAACCAGTACGGTAATCATGTCTCTATATGCACCGTTGTCAGCGTGATCCCAGATGGTTTGTACCTGTCTGGCATTTCCTTGACAGGCTGCTCGAACCTTGGCAGAGTTGGCTGGGCCAAGTTTCTTCACGAGGAGGCGTCTGAGTTCTCCTTCAGTGGGGCTAATCTCACGGCAGAATACGATAACTTCATCACCAAACTTTGTGCCTGATGCTTGGGGGTCTGGCAGATGTGCCAGGGCGTCGGTCATGTCTCTGTCAGTCCAGGGTCTGTGGACCATCATTGCTCCATTTGGACCTGTCACTTGGACCATCAGGAATGAGAGTTCAAGTCTTTCCTCGTCGTCGTCTGTTCATGGTCCTCGTCCACTTCTGGTGTCACATGAGTGGTTGTAGGAACCTCTCACTGCGTCTCCAGTTGTTCCCAGGTCTTCGTGTGACTTGTCTGGGCTGCCTAGTTGGGACATGGCGTGTGCGGCCTGCTGCATGAGGTTGGCGACGGAGGAGATCGTGCTCGTGAGGTTGCTGGCAGGAGTGCTGGTTGGAGATGGGTCGAAGTCAGGCTGTCTTGGTGTGGGCGGGCCTTGCTGTGCTGCTGGACCGGGTGGAGGGGCCACATATGGTGGGGGTGGGGGAGGACATGCGTCGAGTTCAGGATCCACCCTGTGCAGTGAGGGATAGAGAGAAGAAGATTTCTGAGAAGCTTTATCTGCCTCTTTCTCATTTGGTTTATCTACTTTAGACATCTTTTTACACCATTTCTTTCTTTCCCTACTTTCAGATTCATCCTTCCGCATTTTCAAACTTCTTTTGTGACTTTATATCATTTCTGTAACTTTTTTAACCTGATCTGTTAAATGATCCTCCTTGAGGAAACCCACATTCATTAACCCATTCATTCAGATGTTAACAACTCATTTCACCAAACTTTTTCTTCACGAAAATGACATTAGGCCCTTCAGGTGGAGGAACCTGGTTACTTCCCTGTGCACCCATTTTGAGGCACAGTCAGTGTACACTTATACTTTAAACACAGTCGTCACCGTGAGTCTTTGGATTTGTTTAGGGCACAATCAAAGTTAAGCCGTTACCGAGACAGATTTATCCTTACAGATTCAAAGTCTAAGTCTAATCTTTTTCTTTCCAGTCTCCTTACGGATTCTTCGTCTTAGGTTAAAGGACTTCAGTGTTTAATGTCTAACTGTAAGATATTCAACCTTTAAGGCAGGCCTTCAACAGGGGGTCCGCGAAATTTTTGGTTGATTAGACAATTTTTTTTTTTCCCAAACATGAATCTGTCTATTATTTTAATAGTTCAGTATTGTATGCAAGATAACAGGTATGTCTATAAATGGCAGTGGCACAGCCACCCTACTCACTGTACCTTGCACGTGTTTAAAATAAAAACATGAATATATGAACCTGTGTATTATTTGAATATCTTAGTATTGAATGCACAATAAAGAGGTATGTTTATACATGGCACTAGGCCCAGTTTAATATAAAACACAATTGTATACAATATATATAGTCGGGGGTCCCTGCTCCATCTCTCTATCAGTTTGGGGGTCCTTGGCCTGAAAAACGTTGAAGACCTCTGCTTTAAGGTATTTAACGTGACAATCAAACACTCACCCTTTTCTCCCCGTCCTCCTTTACTCAGCAATATTCTTCGAACACTCCTAAAAGTAGTATCCTATGTTACCGTATCTACCCAACCTTTCACGAACAGCATTTATATGAGATGTCAACAAATATCCACACATGCCTGTTAAATGCTAATATGAATATTGACAAACATATTCTATTTCCTAAATCAGCGCACTTTTAAAATCCCAATTTGACATTAATTAAACAAATATCCCAAAACAAACAAAACAAACCTTCAGAGTCAATCTTCCAAATTTCAGTATCTCACCGGATGTTTAGAAGTCTATCTGGACTCAATCAGGTCCTTTAGGATCCCAGTGAAGATGCTCAGGAACCACTGAACGGTCCTCTCCAGAATGTGTGGGGCACAGAGGCAGGAGAAGAAACCTCGTGGATGATCAGTCCCCGTCAGCAGTCGGTTCCCGGTGATCTTTCAAGGGATCCTGTTCGTGATGCCAAGTTTGTGGTGGAAAAACGATTCAATAGGACCGAGTGAGTCCTATAATACTGAAACAAGAAACATTGAGAGAAGGAGTTGTTAAAGTATTTATTCTCTGTGCAGAGAAGGCTTCACCGTCATACTGACTGCAACACAGTCCGCAGAGGATGAGCCAAGAGTTCAGTTTGTCTCCTGCTCTTAAACATCTCAGCACACAGCAGGGGGGGAACATCAGTTATTTACATTACAACAGTGGTGGGCCGTCAGGGCCTGCAAGGCCTTCTCTGCTGGCCTAAACAGAATCACAAAGTTATAGCTATTTTATAATTTAATCATTTTTCTTAAATACACTACATGTATTATAATTTATAAAAATATTTTTACCATTATCTTATTTTCTCAATGCACAGCTCCTGTCTTCCTCAGTTGCTCTGCTTCCAGTGCAGCTTGTTTTAAGTAGAGCTTTTATCCAATCAGATTTCACCTCTGTGTCTCTAGATAAGAAGAGAGGCCCGAGGCCTGCAGACTCACAAGTGCATCCCTTTGCAGTTTAAGTGAATGGGGATGATATTGTTGATTGTCATAATCTTCAACCAATCAGATCTTTAGTTTGACATGTTGGGCGTATTGTTTGACGTGTCAGCGCCTGATAGCCGGCCTATAGCTACGTCAGCATTACGTCCAGTTGCAGCTCTGCCGCGAGGTGCAGAGTGTGCTGTGATTGGTCAGTGGGCGAGCACGTGACTAAAGTGAAACTTATGCTTGCTAGCATTCACTGGCTAAGGTTGTTAGCAGTCAGAGTTCAAGTGGAAAGATATGGAAGAAATTATGGCATTTTCAGTTTTTTTTTTTTTACTTAGCTTTGTTTTTTTAACATCAAATGGCGGAAGGAGGAGGAGAAACTGATTTAGTGGCGGAGTTACTGGGAACGCCTTTCTCAAGAAGGACATTTCCGGACAAACTGGACATAGTAAGAAATGGCCGGCCAACCCCACAGCTAGCAGCCCTGACCCAGCCAGGAAAAGGATTTGTGCGCCACTTTCAGTCAGCAAACTATGAACGGTATTCCTTGCTGACAGGGTCGGAGAAGAGATGCAAATTGTATTGCTGGGAATGCCTGTTATTTGCGACTGAACGTCTTGGTGTATGGAGCCATGCTGGATTTGGTAACCTGAGCAAGGCTGCTACGCGACACCAAAGTACGGCGGGACACGTACAAGCTACGGTGCTCTTGAAAACGTTTGGAGGGACCCGAGTGGATCTCCAGATCAACGAACAAGTTCGCAGGGAAACGGAGCTCCACATTGAAAAAGTTAAGAAGAATAGGGAAATACTGAAAAGGACCTCTTGCTGGAACTGAAACACACAGATGTACTGCACAGCCGCGTTATTGAACACTTTGTAAACAAAGACAGGAGGATGGACTTTGTATTTAAATAGAACAGCATTTGGTAAGTGAAACTGCTTTTGTTTTCTTTACATCTGCAGTGTGTTCATTTTGCCTGTCGTGTTGTTTATGGATATATCGTTCCTTGATGTAAATAATATTTGAATGGCACTTGCTCTTCAGTGTGTGCGTTGCTGGATTGTTTTGTCATGCTTTGTTGTGAATATATGCGAGTTCGCTCTCGTCATTGTGTTAATTACATCGATTTTGACCATATGCAGTGTCCGTTAATTACGAAGCATCCCGTCCTGCGTGGGTTTAGGGTCCGGATAATTGAATCAGTTTGGGCTG